TTTTATTTATAATTCCACAAAAATAGAGCCCGCTAATTATCTCAGTCGTTGAGGTGGATCACACGGCAGAGATGCCTCGTGTACGATAGACCGCTATATTTGGCTAGTGGACGGTAGAAGTCACCATATATAAAAAAACTCAACGGGAGTACGGTAGGCTAGGGTACGTCCGGGCGTACGCTAGCCTTTGCCATATATATATATGGTGCCTTCTACGGTAGGCTGGGTACCATAGAACTCCCCATATATATATGTGGGCAGTTCTAGGGTGCCCACGGCAAAATCTATGGTACAGGTAACCGGGGGCAAGGAAAATTACCAAAAGCATCACGAAGCGTTAAAGCTTTTTTCATTGGACTTCAACCTAACTGTACTTGGTTTAATTATATCGATTAAGAGGTTAAACTCTATGGATACGACCCGCCGTCCTAACCAATTTCCAGTCTCCCTTCTACGATCCCTCATTCGTCTTGGAGGGTCCCCTCTTAGTTCAAATTTCGATCATAAGCTGCCTATCAAATCTGAAATCTCCAACAAAATCATCGTTTCGACACCCAAATCCTTTAATTATTTGATCCACATTCGAAGAGAAGATCCCAAATCCTTGTATCCACAAATCGAAGTTTTGTTCCTCGCCATTTTATTTCCGGGCGGAATTTACACACCTATCTCTTTCTAACACGATTACGGCGACCATGTTTATTATTGTGTTCATCAAACTTTTCATTTGCAAAAGAACCATTGAAAGAGGTTTGTTAACCCTAGGGTTCATGTCGCTAGTGCTTTGTCATCTTGTCTTAGCGTTATTGTCATTTTCTCGAAACTTATATCTCTCGGTGAAATTTAGGTTTCTTGATATGTAGTGTTCGTCTCGCCCAGAGGATTGAGGAAGAAGATGAAGAACACATAATTTGATTCGAATCGGATGGAGAGGTCTCCTTAATTTGTGTTTATGTATTAACGGTGCGTTTAGGACTAATTCTAGTTGGACTGGGTCTGATCATTGATTTTTGCAGGCTTTTAAATAACATTCAAAAATGGGCTTGTACATGACCCATGGCACCTAGTTTGTTGATAATAGATACTGAGTTCCGGATTGTCATTAGGTTTGGGCCTTTGATAATTGTCTATCTCAGTGGCGGTTCTTTGTTTTACTTATTTTCGTATGCTTATGTTTCTAAAATCCTGATCATGCCTTGAGTTCACGCAATTTAAACATAATTATGTGTTCCATCTTTTTTTGGGATTTGGTAAATGCTAGCGTTTCTCTTTACACATTTAGCGGTACGAGGTAAACTACAATCCGCCCAATTTAACTCTTCATTAATTGAGATCCTATTCCACTATCTCACTGATTGCCCCTCTTTATGCAATGCACTCGTACATAACAAACCTCTTGTAGACTAATTAGAGGCTTGTGGTTGGATACTGAGTGAAGATAATTTTTTTAATTTATGTTTTGAAACGAAAGTTAGAATTTCACTTTTTAAGTACCTATGTACTTTAATTGGGCAAGTATTTTTAAAATGTAAAATTTTATCAGCGTATAGGTATACGATTGTTGTATAAGGTGTTTATGTTAAAGGAAATGGGTACTGACTGCTTAGGGTTAGGTTGTTGATGGTATAGAGTATATGGTATATAGGTAGGTTATAAGGTGTTGATGGTTTAGAGCATATGGTATTGATTGGTTAAAGGGTGAGGGTAGGTGTTGTTTTATTCTTTCTCGATTTTATATTTTCTTTATATCTGCTTATAAATGATGATCATGCCTTATTACTAAAAAAACTTAGACATAATTATTATAGCGTGACACATTTATCGGTACGAGATAAAATGATTTGGTGTGTGCAAGGTAGGTTCCTATTATCTATTTTGCCTTGTTGGTTATCCTTGTTGGTGATCCCGTCCATTAGCTATCCGCCACATATGGAATGTAAATTAGTTAGAGTTATTAACTTCATCTTTCTTCATTTATTGTTTGATTTGAACCTGCATGTTTTTGTTCTGAAGGATTTTGTAGTGGCGTGGTAAAGACAATCCGTCCAATTTAACTCTTCATTAATCCCCCCTTTTCCACTCTCTCACTCCCCCACGAAGCAGAAACAATCTACTATGATATATTTACCGTTCATTTTAACCCTTCACTTAATAAGAAAGCGAAATTTCACATGATGATTATAAATGTCATGTAGCTTAAGTGGTTAATTGTCCTATAGTTGTTGAGTTAATAAAGTAGAGGTTTGTGGTTTGATACTTAGCGACTATCAATTTTTAATTTATGTTTTGAACAGAAAGTTAGAATTTCAATTTTGAAGTACCTATCTACCTTAGTTGGGCAAGAAAAGTTAATCAACAATAAAATAGAAAAAGAGAATAGTTATCTATGTCGCATTGCTAGAAGAATTCCTAATTTAGCAATCTTGCTAGTTTAGAAAGAACTCCTCCATCCCTAAACCATTGCTAAGTTTTTGCCATATAAGCTCCACCTCATCTTTAGCAATTGCTAAAAGTTGGGGATGGAGATGGTGACAATCAATAAGCAATTTCTAAAGTGGGCCCTTATCGCCCTTAGGGTTTAGGGTTCAGGGTTTAGGGTTCACGGTTCAGGGTTTAGGGTTTAGGGTTACAATAACATTACCAAATTAGTAGATTAATTTTGGTAAACGAAAAAGTTAGTTAATCTACAAAGCCAGTCTAAAAGCACATCCCCACCTCCCACCGTCAATTCCTAAACTTTTCCTTTAATCCGATGGTGAAAGAGCTTCAATCCTTGCCGCGGCGTGTCACCCAATCAAATTTCGCCGTTTTTGGAAAGTCTCATTTTTTCATAACCAGTGCTGACGTTACCAATCAGATTTCGCCGTTTTTGGAAAGTCTCATTTTTTCATAACCGAGGCAAAGGTAGGGAGTGTGATTTTCAGTAAATGGGAAGGGCTGGAAAGGCAAAGTAATTTTATGAGTCCATTTATAAATTCTTTAATCGAAGAGACACAAAAATAAAAGAGACACATAAATAAAACGACACCGCATAAACCAGTAGTCTTCTTATAAACCAATTAGACACGTCATTAAAACGACACCGCAGAAGGCAGCAGTCTTCTTATAAACCAAACGACGCCGCTTCAAGCTGACAGTGGCAGTCTTCACATAATCCTAATCCGAATAGGATAAGGACTTCTATCTTCACTTCAAGTTTTCAACACTGATCAAATAGTTGCAGCCCTTTTACACACGTATTCCGAAGAACTCAAGTGTCCAAAACTCTGGTCATTAGGTTGCTACTTCTAGTAACTGACCTCTTCTGCAAATTCGATAACGCCGATTTTAGTTGTACAAAAATATTGGATGCAACTGCATTGTGTAGACACGAACGATTATATTTTATTCTTACCCTAGGTTGCTCGTAATCGTCGTCATCGTCATTTTCATCATCGGATGGCCCAGACCCTGTACACGTTCTTGCATTATGCTTGGTAGAACCGCACTTACTGCAATGCTTTTGCCTTCCCTTAACCATTGCTAAGTTTTTGCCATCTAAGCTCCACCTCATCTTTAGCAATTGCTAAAAGTTGGGGATGGAGATGGTCTTAGACAATCAATAAGCAATTTCTAAAGTGGGCCCTTATCGCCACATCACCAATCAAGCAAAAAACTCATTCAATAATTTCCAAACCCCTACATCCCTAAAACCAATAAGCAATTGCCAATAGTAGGCCCATACAATGAAAGAAAAAAGTAATTGAAAAATAAAAAATATCCTCGGTGGCATTGCAATCTTGCTAAATAATGGTGCCACCTAGGATTCCACTAAATAAGCAATGGGATGGAGATGGTACGGTGTTTATGGTTTATAGCATACGACTATAAGGTATTGAAGGTTAGGGTATAAGGTATGTAGCAAGGTGTTGATGGTTTAGAGTATATATGGTATTGATTGGTTAGGGTATAAGGTGTTATTGTTGTAGAGTATATGGTATTGATTGGTTCGGAAATTAGGGTTTAGGGTTCAAGGTTTAGGGTTTAGGGTTTAGGGTTACAATAACATATACCAAATCAGTAGATTAATTTTGGTAAACGAAAAAGTTAGTTAATCTACAAAGCCAGTCTAACAGCACATCCCCATCTCCCGTCGTCAATTCCTAAACTTTTCCTTTAATCCGATGGTGAAAGAGCTTCAATCCTTGCTGCGGCTTGTCATCCAATCAGATTTCGCCATTTTCGGAAAGTCACATTTGCCCATAACCAGCGCTTACGTTACCAAGGCCGAGGCAGCGATAGCGAGTGTGATTTTCAGTAAATGGGAAGGGCTGGAAAGGCAAAGTAATTTATGAGTCCATTTATAAATTCTTTAATCAGAGAAGGAGAGACCATGCTCCAAAACCCGAGAGGCACTCATCTCCTGCTGTTGTTCGTTCCTCCTCCTCTCAATCGCTGAGAAGACCCCTTTCTCCCATCTTCTCAATATGAAACTATGAAAATCAACCCCATCCGCCTCTTCGTCCTCCTGTCCCATGCTTTATTTTCTAGTGCAGTGGTAATGATGAGACAGCGTATTATTTTAGATCTCAGTTCCTTTCATTATGTCATTGTTAGATCATGACTGTTAAACTAACTCCTTCGTTTTATTGTTTCTTCTTTTCTCTCCATGCAGGGTCTTTGTTAGAGGCAGGGAGGGGAGCAATGACAATAAGTCGCCGTCTGAATATTGCCGAAAGAATCATCAATGTTGTTACGATTCCATAATATGTGTTGTGGAAGGCTTACATAATTAATGGATTCTTTATTGTGTATAATTAAAAGGATATTTTACTATAAACGAAGCATGATAGATTCACCGGGGGAATAAAAGAAGCATGAGTATTGATGAAAAAGGGGAAAAAATCACCATAGATAAAAAATCATTATAATCAAGCCATATCCATACTATTCACGCCTATCATCGTCACTATACTTGTGACCAAATATAAATAAAACCATAATTTTCAAAAACCATTAAAAATGAAGATGAAATAAGTAACACATTCTTCGACCTAATTGGAACTGCTTAGAACAAAAGCAGATTAAAATATCCCCCGATGAAATTCATTTTCAATTTCATAGGTAGTCCCTACTTCCACTTCTATAATTTTGAGAAAACACCACTTCTCAACAACAATGAAAGTCAATTGCAATTTCATCAATAGTCCCCACTCATGGGCCCATTTCAATTGCAAGCAAATTTGCACCCTTGCAACAGCTTCTCACATCATAGCAATTTAGAGATGCAATTGCACCTCCTTGCCACATCATCTTGCAAGTCACAAAAATTGCACTATTGGAGATTACCATTACTGCATCTCGTCACCTGTCTTAGGGAACTTAGCCATGGCAAATTCACAAAATACTGCATGCATAGAAAAATATCGGTCTGGACAATTGAAAAAATGGGAGACTTTCCTAGTCAGATGATGTACTGGCTCCCCTCAGTACCTGGCAATTTTGAGTGCTGGAGAATTAAGGAAAAGACAAAAGACTGGAAAAAAAAACCCAACAAAGACTTAGGAAACTTGTTAACAGAAGACATCCATTGATGGCCCCTTTGCTGCTCCAACGCTCCACCCCGCCCTGCATCAATTGACTCTCATGTAAGCCGAGGACGTTTGCTTGAGGAGGCCTCAGGGGTTTCTTGATGCTTCGTATGTCGAAGGTCAATAAAAGTATCGGTCAATTCGGCTATACGGTACACCGGCAAATAAACGCACTGGTCCTCCTTAACATAAACCCCCATATCCATCCCAACCCTTTCAAGAAAGGTGGTCACGTAGGTGGCATATGGAAAGGCAGTGTACCAGTTTTCCTCTGCCTTCTGGATAGTGGGCACTTGCTCTTTACTTTCATATTCTCGTGCCTCCCCAATGGCAAAGATTAAAGTCAGGACATTCAAAATCAGCCCAATGCAAAAGCATTATAAACCATAAGACTACTTGCCTTGTCTGCTAAATATTTCCTGAATCATAAATTTAGTAACGCGATACTCGCGCAGGATCTGGATTAGGAAGTCCCTTGCCCTCTTCTCATACTGAAAGTCTGGTAAGTACGATTGAATATTGTTTCCGGGATGCTCCCCCAGCCGCCGGAAGGAGTGGGATTCCGGTATGCTCCTGCCGCCGGTTGCGTCTTCCTCGACAAGAAGAATGAAATAGGAGAGGGGGTGGGTTTTCTTTTAAAGTGGATGAATCAGGTGGGTTTTCTTTGACAGGGGAACAATTCTAATGGGGAGGAATGGTATATGGCATTTTGTTATTAATCAGGGGTAGTTGGGTCATTTCAAACACAAGTTAACGGTAAGAAAACAGAGTTTCTAACGGAAGGGTATTTTCGTTACGTTGTAATATTATACGGGCATATTTGTGCGAAAAAAATAATAGAGGGACACGTTTGTTACTTTGCAATAGTACAAGGGCAGTAAATGCTACTATCCCAATAATTTTCGAAGTCACAGCCAAAACATAAATAAAACAAAAAACAAGACAAAATTCCAAAATCATCCAAAAAGTTGGTGTCTGATAATCCATCCCTCTCAAAACCAACCTTACTCTCAAGGTTGGACCGGCGCTCCATAATTTTCCTTGCCTTACTCTGTTGCGAGCTCCACCGCCTCATCATCCATGTTTCCCACGAGCAAAATCAATTGACCCTCGACACACTGGTGCCCGACAGTGTACCTCGCGTTGTAGTTGAAGCAACGATCATCCCTATGTTTGTACTCCATATCTGGTGGTGTGAGCCCCATGAACCCTCAATGTGGCAGCCTGAGCCCCTATCATTCGCCTGGTGGAGCTGCTACTGCTGCCACTGGCACTCCCGCCCCTTTCAGGGGCGTCGCCGCCATTCCACCCGTTCCGCCTGATCCAGTATTTCTGCCGGCTGCCTTTTCGAATCGCACCCTACTTCCCTTCCAGCTTGCTAGCTCCTCCTCCTTTGGCAATGCCAATCTAAAAGCCATCCGCAAGGAACTGAGCTCGAACATCTTCACAACTATAGCTAACTCCAGCCTCAAACCTACAAGACATAAACCAACAGAGTCTCCTCCATCATACGCTTGCACATGTTTCCCAGCCTCAGGAAATCTAGTCAGAACCATGCCACAGTACCGAACTATCTTAGCTTAGCAAGGTGTTCCGACACCCATCCTCTAACTTCCCGAACAGGTACTGCAGCTTCTCCTGAAAGCGAGTCCTAGTGATCAGCATCTCCGCCTCCGCATAGGAACGCTCCATCCACTCCCACCACTAGAAGGCATGTCCCTCTAAATAGAAAGACGCTCCTCTCCTCTCTATAGAATAGTTTTTGAACCACCTGTCTGCAACATAAATCCATAACCCGTCATCCTCGTTACCTTTGAATTTTGGGAACTCAATTGTAATACAATCATAATTTGTGCTTGTTTGGATCAAAGTACGCAGCTCGATTCAATCCAACGAATTGGTTCAGTCTTTGAACAAACTTAAAACGAAAACGGACCAAAGGTGCAACTTCTCACTTGGGAAGAGGCTCGATTGGTTTTGGTCGAAACTTGGTCACGATTGATGTAGTTTTCAATCGATACAAAGCAAACACGAGGATGGACTCTTCCAACAACGCAAGGTGTCAAGTTACAAGGTCACAATTTCATTCAATCATAATCTGCCTCTTACATGAGGCTAACAAGCCTTTAAATAGACAAAGAACAACCCTAAATCGACTTCTACACAAGTAAATCAAATCTAACTCTACTCTAACCAGGAAACAGAAATCCAAACTCAAAAAGGGAACAAATCTCGGTTGCTTCAGACTTAACCTTCTGCCTTCCTTCGCAAGCAATCAAATCCAGCCTCCATAGCCACTTTGAGGCTCTCGATCGATGCCTTCCAGAGAAATTCGAGCCAAACAAGCTTCAGTTGTTTCTTTCCCAGGTCTCGAACTTCAAGTTCCCACTCGCCTCTCCAATTGACGATACTCCATCTGCTTCGAATAAGCTTCCAAATAAGGTAATCTCAAACTGGTTCTAGACTTGGCCAAAATCAGGTAGATTTGTAGTTTCAACATAGCAACTTGAGACATCTAGAAAGTGTCTTCAACGGCTTGTTCGTGCTCAATCAGAACTTCAATCATGTTGAAAAACACTTGAACTTCGAATCCCAACCTTCCCCTTGCATTTCCATCAACCAATATGTAAGATATAAATCTGCAAAGCAAGCACCATGAAACTGATCGAACACTTGGCCAAATTCGACTCTTTTTTCCTTCCAACATGGGTTGATTCTTTAACACGCAATTGATCCGAGTTTAAGGATTAATTTAGGATCATATCAAATGTTCATGGGCTTAGCTCTAAAAACTCGTTCATCCTCACTCTCATACATAGAGTTATAACCGCCATACCTGCCAATGTCGTAACCGCCATGATGATCTTCGTCTATGCCGCCTCGATCCTACCTCATCATGGGCTCTCGCCATCGAAGCCCCAACCATCGTCCTCATCACTCAAACCTCCATTTTTGGCTCCCGATCCTTGCCCCAATGTTCACAGCATGCCCGAGCGGCGCCAGTTAGCCTTTCATGTTGCCAGAGGATGATACATAGCATTAGAAGCGCCTCCCATACCCTTCCACTGGCCCAGTCGCACCAAATCACCCTCCGACGTGACCTCGATCGTCTTCTCTGGCATCACAAGCGGTCCCTGCGATGCCAATGCCAACTTCATCATCTCCATTAGCGATCTCAAGTCGTCATTGTTCCTTCTAGTTGTCTCCTGTAAAGTTTCGTTCACCTCTCCCATACGAATATGGAGGCCGATAAAATGATTCGCCATTGTCTTCAACAGCTCCCAAAAATTATCATCGAATGTAATGTCCTCCACAATCATGATATCCTACAACCGGTCCATTGATTGTTGCATAACACTTCTTTTGTTAACCCAGACGCCAACCAAGCTCTAATATCGCTGTAAGAATTGGTGATTAGAGATTGGTTAAGAACTAGGGTAATTAACATAAACGGTCATAAACCTTTACACTTAGTACAAAACGGTCATAAATCTTTAATTTGTAATGAATTTGGTAACTCACTTTTGATCATATACCAAAACGGTCATTCCGTCTATCTCCGTCAAAAAAGTCTGTTAATTTAGTCTAGTCAACCGTCTCGTCAGCATCCATGTCATCAAAAGAATTAATAAAAAATAAATAAAATCAAACCAAACCAAACCCAGACCCTAATTCCAACCCAACCCAAACCATTCCTCTCTCTCCTCTCCCCTCATCGCAATCACCACATTGCCAGAGGACCTCACCCCCGAGCAGCACTGGTTTTGGGGATAAGGGCTCTGAAGAGGAAGTTTGACGATCTAATGGCGGCTGAGGAGCGGAAACGGCGGCAGTTGGAGACATTGGAGGACGCGTAGAAGGAAGGCATCGCTGTCGGTGACGGAGTCTGTGGCAAACAGATTGTGATTCGCAGTTCCAGGTGTGGATTCCCAAGTGAAGGGGATGGAACTGGATGCACCGCCGTAGTAATACCCTATAGGAGGGGTTACGGGTAGCAGTGGGAACGAAATCATCACCCACCATTTGGATTCAATGAAAGAGAGGCGAACTTAGCTAGGTATAATCTTGCCTGTGCCTATTGGAACGAAATCACTTCGTGCCTATTTGTTTTTCCCCCTCTGTGTTTTAAGTTTTAATTTTTAATTAATTTAATGAGATGGTCATTACCAAAAAAATGAAAGAGAGGCGAATGAAGGTAAAGAGCCACAGAGGAGGAGAGATTCCTTCGAGGACAGTTCTCCACCATGAATCATTGGGAGAACGAGAGAGTTAAATCGAAGAATACCTCGTGAATTGAGGAAGGCGGCCTGAGATTTTGAGAAGTTTTGCAACGGACATTCAGGATAAGAGAGAAAGCCAGGTCAAGCTGCGACCGCGAGATGGTGGACGGCGGCAAGAGATCCGAGATGAGGGACAAGAGTTTTGTCTTAGGTTGGGGTCAAGTTGGTTATGGGTGCCGGTTTGGTTCGGGTTTTTGGTTGTTTTTTTTATGAATTTTTTTAATGACGTGTACGCTGACAAGGCAAATCTAACAAAAAATTGGATGGAGATTAACAGAAGTGACCATTTTGTACAAGTTCATACTTTTGTTACAAAATCGTTACAAATTAAAGGTTTGTGATCATTTTGTACTAAGTGCAAAGGTTTGTGACCATTTATGATAACTACCCTTAGAACTGAGAATGGGTAATTGAAGAGGAAAGGAAAGGGTGTTTAAAAAGATCAGCCAGTCATGGGTGGCCAACAGAGAATCGAAGGAAAGGGAAAGAGGATTCGACTGCACAAAAGAGAAGAGAAAGAGATGACCAAACTAATACCTCCTACCATAAACAACCAAATAAACCCGAATATGCCAAAATCGACCAAATAACATCCGAAGTCAATAAAACGAAAAAAACAAGTCCAAATACCAAAATAATCCAAAAGTGGGTTTCTAACAGACTTGCTGCGATCAACAAAAGAATATGCGTCTCTGTGGCGACAATGGATTTCACGATTTGACCATTTTATGTGCTCGGACTGCAGGGGACAAAATGTTCAGGCTGTGATTCAGCATCCAACTTGGCCTTCCTGTATCTCTTTGAACTTTTCAGGATTGTGTCCAGTGGAACCCCTGAGTAGCTACACATTCAGGCGAGCATACCATAATCTCATTAAATTAACATGGCTATATGTAAGCCACTTCACATAAGCCCATCAAAAGAGTACGTGTACTTACAACGGCGTCTTCATGCCTTCTCGACCACTACTGCCATTTCTGTTCATGCTGTCGAACCCTGGTTCAAGAACAATACGTCAATACCCGCTTAGCTTCTATTCAAGTCACATATTTTTCTGTGCTTCTACTAAAAACATAATGAAAATCACGAAAAGTCGCTTATTTCTTTAGCAAATGCTGAAACAAACACGACAATAACTAACCTGCAACAGTTTCACCATCCGAGTGGACAGGAGATACGGAGAGATCGGAATCCGGGGGGCTGGCACGTGAATGGTGGGGTGGAGATGGAAAATGATAGGATTCCAAGCTATCATCTGATTCATCACCAAATGGAGTCTGCTTGAATAGTGATCTTGACGCAACAACCTGCTTCTGATGAAGCCTGCCATTCACAACTTCGCCTGGATGAGCATTATAGCCTTCCCCACCATTCACATCGGTTTGCTGGCTTTGAGATTGATCCCTCTTGTCTCTTTTGGTGTGGGAACTCGAGTTTGTCAAACTCTCAGAATGATGTTCCTCTAAGCACTTGTTTGGCATGCCACCAATTGGACGAGTCATAGCATTTGATTCTTGAGCCTCTTCACAATGAGGTTTTTGCTCATCTACTATACCAGGTACTGCTTTCTTTTCCTGAGGCTTTGAATGGGCTTCAAGTTTCTCCTTAAAAGTTGGATACCCTAACTTGGGAGAGATGTCATGCAGGTTTGCCTCTTGCACTTCCCCACTCTTCTCACTTTTCATTTCAGCCCAAGCTCCGGTAACCTCACTAGGATCAGCAGTATTCTTATTCTGTTCTCTAGGAATGAAATAAGAGCTGATGTCGACTCCATCAACCTCGCTAGCATTTTTCACATTGCCGCCAACTTCCTCTGGAGGAGACATGATCTCTGCTCTATCTAATGAGTCTTTGAGACTCGGATTTTGCAGATTAGTATCATAAGGGAATGTAGAAGAATCTGTGCCACAAATGTTGGCCATGGTAGGAGCCGGAATACTTTCATCAGGGCACTTGTCTTCTGTTTGTGTCGGTAGTACAGTGTTCTTACCATCTGAACCATGCTTCTTCTTCTTTGTTTTCTTTCTCAGTTTCCCTTCTCTGTTTTCTGCAACAGTTTCAGTCTTTGTGGTCTCCTGTGCAGATTCTACCACATTTTTAATAAACTCATCGCTTTCCTTATCTGTAACCAAAAGAGAAGCCGTCGGACTATCAGCTGCTGCCACTTCTTTCACATCTCCCTTTTCAGCAGCTTCAAGAATAGAGTTCTCAGCCTTACCTACTTTCTCGGGTACATCATAACAATCTCTAACATGATCAGCATCTGAAGCAATTGAAACTGTTCCACCCTTGACTACCTTATGTTTCCTGGATTTCTTTCTTTTCTTCGATGTTTTCCCATCATCAACATATGGATCAACCTCGTGTGATACAGAATCAACAACTTCTTTGTGCACTTTTGTAGAAACCGTCTTGGGCACCTCTTGTTCTGTTTCAACTCTATTCATGTCATTAGTTGTTGGTTCCTGAAACTCATTGATACCTGCAGCAAACCAGTTTGAATATCAGATATCTTTCGAGCAAATGTAGAAGCAAGCATCACTTACCAAAGTTTAATTCGAAAATGGAGATACCTTGTAAAGGAAGATTCCTCTGTTGCTCTTGGAGAGGATCAGGTTCCTTCTCCATCAAAGAAACACCAGAAGGCTGCGTCATTTGTGTATCTGAAGGAGGCGCCTCTTCAGCAACAGTACCACTTTTAATTCCAGCTACCTTCAGAGGTACCTCTTCACCAGCATTCGCTTCACCAGGAGTTCTTCCAACATTTTCTGTATCTACTTTCTTAAAAGACTTTATTTTTCGTTTCTTCTTCGCCAAGCTTTGGCTTGCCAATTGACCTGCATCCACACAGTCAGCATTTGGGCCTTCCAGTGTAGCAGTCGCAAGTTGTTCATCTATTGTAGGTAGCTGAGATAGAGGAGGCTCACAGGTCATTGCATTAGATTCTGAAACAGTTATCTGCATATCACCAATGTCCACTTCAATTCTTTCCTGCAAAGCAGTAGTCTCAGGTAGTTTAATATCCCCATCTCCCCCCTTTGCTCCCAGCTTGTGCATTGACACATCAATATTATTACCATAAAGATCATCCGCGCCCTTTTTACTTCTCTTTCTCTTCTTACGTTTTCCATTCACATCAGAAGCTCCTTCTGGCAATACACTGCTTGCATCAATCTTACTCAACTCTTTCCCAATTTCTGTTCTTTGGCCATCCATCTCCTCAACTTTTTCTTCATCACAGTTATCTTCTCTAACAAAGTCATCACTAACCAACGGCACCATCGACAAAACTTTGTCACCACAATCATCATCACCCACACGTTGAGCCCCCCGGGCAACTTCAACAACAAGGTCAGTGCTCTCCTTTAGAGAAACCAACGGACCCTTTTCTGAAACAATGATCTGCATATCTCTAATAACCACGTCACTTCTTTCCTGCGAACCAGTAGTCTTGGATAGTTTAATCTCTTCCTCTCCTCCCTTTGTTCCCAACTTGTGGATTGACACATCAACATCTTTACCAGCAAGATCATCTACACGCTTTTTACTTCTCTTTCTCTTCTTGCGTTTTTCCTTCCTATCAGAAGCTCCTTCTGGCAATACACTGCTTGTGTCAATCTTAATGAAATCTTTCCCAATTGTTGTTCTTTCAGCATTCATCTCCTGAGTATCTTCTTCGTCACATTTCTTGTCTCTAACAAATTCATCAGTAGCCAATGGCACCATAGACAAAAATTGGTCACCACAATCATCACCACGAGCTCCCCGGGCAACTTCAACAAGAAGGTCAGTGCTCTCCTTTTGACAAACTAACGAACCCTTTTCTGAAACAATGATCTGCATATCACCAATGTCCACTTCACTTCTTTCCTGCGACGCAGTAGTCTTGGATAGTTTAATCCCTTCCTCTCCTCCCTTTGTTACCAACTTTTGCATGGACACATCAACATTTTTACCAGAAAGATCATCTACAACCTTTTTCCTTCTCTTTCTGTTCTTACGTTTTTCCTTCACATCAGAAGTTCCTTCTGGCAATACACTGCTTGCGTCAATCTTACTCAAATCTTTCCCAGTTGCTGTATTTTCAACATTCATATCCTGAGTTTTTTCTTCATCACATTTCTCTTCTCTAACAACTTCATCACTAACCAACGGCACCATTGACAAAACTTGGTCACCACAATCATCACCACCAACAAGTTGAGCTCCCCGAGCAACTTCGACACAAAGGTCATTGCTCTCCTTCTGAGAAACCAACAAATCCCTTTCGAACATAACATTGTGATGCCTATCTAAAACAACATTAACACCTTCCTCCTCCAAACCATTGTTCATTCTCATTAAGGCTAAGTTAGCCATTTCAGGCTCAACCTCCTTATCCACGGATACCGTAGAAGCTTCAATACTAACAAACCAATCTTCCTTAAGCCCATCAAAGGCATTTGTCACAAGCATTGACTCTGCCAAGTGATAGTAAAACCCTCTCCTTTCAACCTGCCCAATTCCATTCCCACAAACGGTATAGGTCATTTCACAGGCAATCAATCAGAGAATAAGCGGAAAATAGTATAGAGAAAGAAAAACCATACCTTCAATCCATCGACTTTTATTTCTCCAAGCTTAGGGAAACACAGCGGATGCTCATCCATGATCTTTTCTGCAATTACCGCAGACGGACCATCACAAAAACAGTTAAAGTTCACAGAGTTCATATCTTTGCAATGGACATTGGGGGTTATGTGGAAAAAAGACGAGCGAGGGAGCGAGGGATTACTCTTAAGATCGGCGACGGTGACAGAGGAAGAGATCGTCACGGCCAAGCGAGTGTCGAGGTTGGTGTCGATGAAGACGCTCTTGAAGGAAGCTGGAGCGCAGCCGTGCCCGGGGGCCGGAATCGCCAGTTCAGCCATCGCCGATAACGCAAAGGGGGGGAAGAAACCGGCTCGGCAGCGGTGACGACGGCGGCGAGTAGGGTTTAGTGTTGCATGTAGCTTTTTCTGGACGATTCGTTTCTTTCGACGGCTCGTGAAGAATGGCGGCAGAAATAGAGAGTGCAAAAACCCTCTTAAATGAATAGAATATATAGGGTTGATAGCCTAAGAACCGAACCGGATCAATGATTGGGTCAATATCGTCAAATCAGTTTCGATAGCGGTCCGGTTCATGTTTGAATGGTTATTGATGGACCAAATATTTTTCACGGTTCAACATAAAATTAGATGGACCACCACGGTTTAACTGGTCCACTAGTTCACTATTTTAAACACAAATGTTTTAAAAAAAATGTACATAAACTAAGACCATCAAACAATAATTATTAATTTATATCTGCTTCCTCTTCTCATTTTCCAACCTTGTTGTCGACTTTACCTGGTCCACTATCGATTAGCACCGTAATTTTTAATTTCAATTAAAAAATTATGATTTCATTTGTGATACGGTTTGAATGATTTATTAGATATTTGGTGAAGATATGAATTTGAAATTTTTTATGATCAATGATAACTTCATTCTTAAATTTATTTAATATACAAGCCTTATATGTTACATGTTTTGAGCGGTTTATCAACGGTTAACTAACGATTTTGTAACGATGAACCATTAAATCATAATTCACTAACTTTTTCGGTTCAACCTCCGGTACGATTCTGACCGCCGCTTAATGGGCAACGAGAGCCCAAAGCATATTAGATTAAATTTCATTTAATTAATCAACGAAAGCAGACGGGTAAATTACCAAGGGAAAAAGAGAATGGTTAGCACATATTATTAAAGGTGAAAGCCAAAACTCATTACTTCGAATTTCATATTTTTTATTATTTTAATTGTATTTTAATACTTAATTTATATTTCAGTGTATATTATAAAGAGAGGATAACTTTAAAATTGCAACCCTTATATCACTTGGTTGAATATTCCATATAAAATTAGAGTATTAAATAGGTCGAAGCAATGTCAAAATTTTAAATTAGTATTAATTTTTAGAATTAACTATGAAGAAATCATATCCTTATGCAGAATATATGGGACTGGTTTTTTTAACGTTTTAGCCTGGTTAACTGCAAAGCTTTCATTATTGGTTCATTTCATCATTTTTTGACACTAGCAGAGGGGCCGGCCCGTTGGCCGGCTAGCTGAATTAATTTAAGTGATTGTTTTTGGGCCGCTAATAGAAGCCCATTAGTCCAATTTGAAACCACAAAGGGTATCTGTTGCATTTCTATTATATTGAGCCCAAATTAAATTATAATTTCTTTTTCCTTTACTGTATTTATTAACCTAAACTTAGACAGCAACCAAATTGAGAGGAAATGTTTCCCCTTCCTTCTTCCTTTTTACGCCTTTGTTCAGTCTCCGACGAAACCAGCAAGCGGAGACAAAATTCCTTGCATGGATGCCCTACCCTGCTCTCTTATCTAAATGACAACTTTTATTCTGATTGTGGGAAGCTGATTTCTGTAAACCCACCTCGGAACTTCTCCCAACACACTTTTCATTCATATCATTAACAACGACGAAGGGTATTAAGCGGAATCTATTCTCAAATCTTCCCGCCGGATGAGGCAATGTTTGCGGTCATGTGAAGAGATACCCATCTAAATCTACATACGTGCGGTTTCAGTCAACTTCTTTTTCTCCCAATTTGCTAAACCCTTGGTCTTGGATAGCTTTTCTACGTTTCAATCAGAGATTCCCAGCAAACACTTGTCAGTTTCACAGGTACTTTAGCTTCCATACTTTTGGATACAATGTGGTTCCATTTATTAAAATAAGCGGTATTAAATATTCTTATTTATTTAATCTTGACGTAGGATTGAGCAGTACTTCAGGACGCATTTATCAAAGTTGTTTTCTTAGAATTTGATTACAGATTGCCTGTGGAATACAACTAAGACACTGGTTGATGAGAAAAGGACCTGCCAAGAAAATTTCGAGTGAGCAGGGCATTAGGTCAAACGAAGCAGCATCCTGTTCCACAACAAAAACTCTGACCAATTGACAGAGTCCTCCTCTCTTTGGTATTGTTTGCTTCTCTTCTTTTGTACATGTTTAGTTTATTAGTGTCAGTCCAAATTACAACACCTCAATTATAAAATGCTTCCCTAAACCATACAATTATTTTAAGTAATTAGGAGAATTCAATTGAAAAACATATTGTTAGAATTCAACATTGGAAAGGGAATATGTGATGCGGTCCGGAACAACAACTGATATTAGTTGTTTGAATGATCCTAAACACGACAGGTTCTTGAAAAAATAGAGATTGATCCGAAGGAAATCAGGGACGCATATTGACCAACATGGACATCATACCTCAATGGAATCCGTAAGTATTGCTGTTCTAACCCTATATAACATCATATTCTTATTTTCTCCTAGCTAGTGAATGCAATTGCTAATTGTTTAAAATATAGGTTTGTTACTCTCGGTGATGATTTCGTTGTGAATTTGAATTATCAAAATGCCGTAGCTATGTCTGAGATTGTTGAAACCATAGATCTTATCCCAAAACAATTGGATGGTGACAATCAGGTGAGTAAGATAATATGTTTGTTATTTATCATTCTCCATTCCTTATGTTATTAATTTGTATCTTATTTGTTTACTTTTGCAAAACCCTACCTTTTCAATTATATCAGGGCACTTCATACATTTTCTCTGGTCATGTAATAGAGTTGAGGAGGTCTTGGTGTGATGCATCCAGGGTATTTTTGATTCACTTGACCATTGAAGATGATATAACTGATGTTGAGGTCGTTTTTCCATCATCATACTTGCGAAGGATCATTTCTTCTGTAGTCAATCCTTCAGAGATTGACAATGCCGATTATGTTACACTCCTCAACTTGATTCGTGAAAAATCATATGAGGCCATGGTCACAATTGGTCCTTGGAACGACGTGGGGAATTATTTTGATCTGTTCTTGGTGAAACTATTCTTGCCGTTAGATAACTGAATAGCATGTAGGTATTGTCAATATGATCGGATTAATGTAATTAGTGGTACACCCCTATGTTATTTCTCATGTTTTGTAAGCGTACTGAATATGTGAACGATAAGTTCTTTTGTAAGTCTAATATCCGTTTTAGGGGTGGTTGATGTAAAATTTGACAAATATAACTTATTGTTGATATTTAGCTTTGATATTTAGCTTATTGTTGAGTTAACCATGTATGAAACAAACATCACTGCTACTATTACTGTTTTCTAATCCCAAATTCCTTCATTTCATTATAGGAGCTAATAAGCAATCAAATTGGCAAATGAAATTTCAGCATTGAAAATGCCATCATTTGATACTTTCTAAATCCCTGTACTAATAAAACATAGTACCAAAAGGTAAAAAACATCAAAAGACCTAATTTAATAAAGTACCAAATTAGAAACATAGTTTGGAATGTGCAACTACCCAATTTAGAACATTCACCAAATGGACATTAACTTACTAAATGATATATGGGGAGGAGCACTACCCAAAAAACTTACTAACCACTAAAAGACACTGATTTGTGAGCTCATTAACACGTCCAACTTCAATCATGAAAATGAGAGATCTGTGAGTAATAGATTTCAGGTTGGCTTCAAAAGTAGTAGTCCAATCGATTATTGGGTTCGAGAAGAGCTGGCTGCCTATTTTCTTAAAGTCGGATGACAGGAATACAACACTGATCTTCATAGCTCCATCGTTCAGTGTCAATTCAAACATGTACTTCTGAAAAGTAGGTGCCCAGAATACATCGACAGCTTCAACTGTGGCCTCAATAACAAATTTATTTCCCTGTGTGTAAATAAATAGTTTCCTTAGATAATAGAAATAAATGCTAAAGTAAGCAAAAAGTACACAAACATCATTGCATTAAATTACCATATTGTGCACATTAGTCGATAGAAATAGAATTTCACGAACAGAACTTGTTTCACTCACTTCCATTGCTGCCTCCAATGAATAGTCAATATAACATGGTGACTGATAAGCAGGTTGCTAGATCTGATAAACATGTTAGTTGAATTTAGACCGCAATTAACGAAGATGCAATTATAAATGTATACAAATTTAGTTATCCTAACCAAATTGAATAGAATTAAACCCTAGATATAAAGAACTTAACTTACTGATTCAACAAAATATGAAGTTGTGGATAGTGCAAATTCAAGTAGACATTACTTGCAAATGAGGCTATAAAATAGAATTGATCTACAAAAACCAAGTACTTCATTAGAGTAGGTCATTAAATGTATTAGTAACGCATCAACATATTTACGTACTATCATTCATGTAGGCATAGACTGAAGTGAAGATAGCAACAGTTCCTGGTGCTGGATCAGCTTCATTCCGACCCTCAAATTGCTCAATGCAGGAGTTGAATAGTAAAACTCTGACCGTAATTCCCCTAAAATTAGAAGATCATTAGTTCCATTTTTCAATCAAACACACTGGAAATTAGAGTACAGATCAAAAAGCCTTACTCAAACAGCCTTAGGAAAACATGTTTGCTTCGTTGAACAACACCATGGTGATAAATTGTTTGTGTTGGTTCTACAACATCTATTTCACCTACCAGATCTACACATCATATCAAACCAGTGTTATGATCATTCAAATAATAACATCAACCATAACTACTGGGAGTTCTCTATCTGGTTAATGATTTGCTAACCTGAAAAAATTTGATCATTTTGAACAACATCAAAGAAATCAGCAGGACCTAGGAACCGAAAGCTGCATAATGATATGTCGGCAGCATTTGGCAGTCGATATACACCAGTGTTGGGATGAAAAAAGATTCGCCTAGTTGACATTGCAACCAAAAAAGAAACTTCATACGAATCAACATCAAAATTTTCAATCCGGTAGATTCCTCCTTGTTGTATGGCTGGTAAGAATGTCGGGATTTCAAGATGGTGAATAACAGCCTCCATTTCTGTTCCCTGCAAATCGTTTTTAAGTAAAAAACTTGAACGGTTAGAAGCTTGTATTGGGTAAATGATACAACATGAAACGTAATAAGGAATTCAATAGAAGTACTAACCTCACTATCTAGCAACAACATGTGTAGGAAGAGAGTTTCATCTATATCAGCTACCAAAGTCCTCCATAAACGCAAAATTCTCACTCGAATAGACCATTGTTGCCCATGGGAACCTGCAACTCACGTAAAGAACGGTACACCATGTCTTGCATTCAACTTTAATTCACCTTAATCAGTCGATTATTCTGAACTCCAAAACCAGGGAATGGAAGTTGGGAAAGTAACAAAACTGTTGTGGATCTTCGGCAATCAAATAACCTGGGTGTGGGATAATATTAGATGAAAATGGCATGGAGTACAATTAAAAGGGGAAATATAAAAATGGATTATGTGGGGTGTGGGATTAGTGTCCGGGAGGGATGGGGAGAGTGGGTTGTGGTAGTTAATACAATTGATTTAATATTTATTTTTTATTTGGAGTAAAGCACAACAAATATCAATTAAATTAAGTGATTTTGAAAAAACAAATTCGCCAATTTTAAGTTTCGAACTTCTGACCTATTGATGATACGATCAACTTGTAACCGTTAGACTACCAAGCAATTTTGCAATACCTTATCCAGACTTATTACATTTCTATGTTGCATTTTTTAAACCACACCAATTTTTACTTTTAAAAGTAATTAAGAAAAAAAAATTGTCAATTTTAGCTTTCAAACTTTTAACTTACTGGTGATACGATTAAATTAAGTGATTTTGAAATTTTTTTTGTCAATTTTAAGTTTCAAACTTCTCACCTATTGATGATACGATCAACTTGTAACCGTTAGACTATCAAGCAATTTTGCAACAGCTTATCCAGACTTACTACATTTCTATGTTGCATTTTTTGAACCACACCAATTTTTATTTTTAAAAGTGATTTTGAAAAACAAAATTGTCACTTTTAGGTTTCAAACTTTTAACTTACTGGTGATACGATTAAATTAAGTGATTTTGAAAAAAAAATTTGTCAATTTTAATTTTCAAACTTCTGACCTATTGATGATACGATCAACTTGTAACCGTTAGACTACCAAGCAATTTTGCAACAGCTTATCCAGACTTATTACATTTCTATGTTGCATTTTTTAAACCACACCAATTTTTACTTTTAAAAGTGATTTTGAAAAACAAAATTGTCAATTTTAGGTTTCAAACTTTTAACTTACTGGTGATACGATTAAATTAGGTGATTTTGAAAAATAAAATTGTCAATTTTAAGTTTCAAACTTCTGACCTATTCATGATACGATCAACTTGTAACCATTAGACTACCAAGCAATTTTGCAACAGCTTATCCAGACTTATTACATTTCTATGTTGCATTTTTTAAACCACACCAATTTTTACTTTTAAAAGTGATTTTGAAAAATTAAATTGTAAATTTTAGGTTTCAAACTTTTGCATTACTTGTGATACGATTAAATTAAGTGATTTTGCAAAAAAAAAATTGTCAATTTTAAGTTTTGAATTTCTAACCTATTGATGATACGATCAACTTATAACCATTAAACTACCAAGCAATTTTGCAACAGCTTATCCAGACTTATTACATTTCTATGTTGAATTTTTTAAACCACACCAATTTGTACTTTTAAAAGTGATTTTGGAAAACAAATTTGTCAACTTTAGGTTTCAAACTTTTAACTTATTGGTGATACGATTAAATTAAGTGATTTTGAAAAAAAAATTGTCAATTTTAAGTTTCGAACTTTTGACCTATTGATGATACGATCAACTTGTAACCGTTAGACTACCAAGCAATTTTGCAACACCTTATCCAGACTTATTACATTTTTATGTTGGATTTTTTAAATGACACCAATTTTTACTTTAAAAAATGATTTTGAAAAACAAAATTGTCAATTTTAGGTTTCAAACTCTTAACTTACTGGTGATACGATTAACTTGTAACCGTTAGATTGCCAACCACTTTTGCAACAACTTATCAAGAATAAATATGTTCCTATGTTGAACTTTTTTTGATTTACAACTTACGTTGGATATGGACATACTACATATTTGCATTTCAGCATCCATTATCTAGTGTAACTCACTTACTACCCTAGTGCTCACTGATCAATATTACTACCATCATCCCAATCTTAGCTCCCCCATCAAACCTGAAAGATGCCAACTAAGAATTGACTCAAACACGATGAAATGATCAATTGAGATAAAAAAAATTTAAGCGGGGCAGAACTGAGGAAAAAAGGACTAATAGAAAACAAAAGGATCATGATTTTATAATTTATGAGACGATGCTAAAAGAGCATTTGCCTTGTCATATCAAAAGAAGTTGTAGATTAATAAGATTGATAAACCATACCAAATGGGCCATAGAAAATCAGCTCGTGTCTGCATGGAATTGTTAGATGGATCCTTGTCACCTTTTCATTTGAGATTGTTAGATGGATCCTTCTCTAGATGGATCCCAACCAACATATATTGTCATCTATTATCAGTATGGAATTTGGAACCATTCCAAGAATTCAGAACAAATTTAGTAATAGTGAAATTAGACATGTATAGGCTACATAATGCCCAATTGAAATATTCAGAAAAAGTTTAGGAATCTAAAATATGTTCACAATCCTAAGTTGAAGTGAAACCAGCAACATCCAGTCCTTAGCAAACACATGACAAACTCTGGAACACAAAACAAATGCAATAAAAAGATCCTAGCTGCAACAAATTCTTTGTTGGCGTTGCAATCACTCCAGGGGCATCTTCCTCTTCAGTTTGTTTTCTGGAATTGCATCAGATTCCACTGATGTTTCAATCGATTTTTCGATAGTAGACTGTCCAGACTGATCAGAGGAGGGTTGAGAAGATGCAGGCCCACTTGCAATAGATAAAGATGATCCATCTTTGTGAATCATATAACCTTCTCCCTGAGATTATGATATCCAAATGTAACATTAGCTAATATAGAAATTATAATAGGATTCTGACCTGGGAAAAAAAGACTACAACCTAGATCAAAACTGAGAATAGAAAAGTGATCATAACACTTAATTCTTATTTAAAGAGGAAAAATACTTGCAGGGATATCTACTGACCTGTGGGGTGGGTTCTAGTATTCTCAGCACAGTAAAATCAGCTTGAGAATCAGCAAAAAGGTTGATCTTGAATTTGACATGGAATTTCTTGGTCAGACCTACCAATTGAAGCAATTCATCAGGTGGCAAGTCACCATTGTGCCCATTTTTCTGGAATCGTTCATGACCAGTCAATCCAAAGTACCGCTTCCCTTCATACTCGAATAGTACAAATACTGCTGACTTCAAATCACTTTGAACTTCAAGTTGAACACGGTATCTACACAAATCACGAATTTCAAATAAAATTAATGGAAGCAATTATAGTTCAATGAGGAAGAATAATGAATGTCAACTAAGTAAGAGATGTTTACTTGGCAGCCTTAGCTGATATTTCCTTGTTGCATCTAACACAATAGTACTCATTCTGCCTTTGTATAGGCTTCAAAACACAGGTAAGACACCCCATATAACACCAGCCTAATTTAATTCCAAGAACTTTGCATTCAACAGCAAACACCATTTCCTAATACCAAATACATTTACTATGAGTCTCTAATGAAATGAAAATGCAAATAGTATAAGATATAAGAAAGACCATAGAAGTAACCTCCACGTCTGGATCCTCTAGTAATTGCAGAAGTTCAGAAAGTGAAATATCAGGGAATTGAGGAGGTGGCGGTGGTTCCACAAAGACAGGCAGCTCTGGTTGCACAGTACTGATTTGAAGAAGAAAAAAATCAATAAATAAACAAAAACTAAACAACAATGCAATGTCATAAACAAAGTAGAGTGATGAATAACCGGTAGCAAAAGCTTTGACAGCTGGAATATCGAGGTTACGATACACAACTGTTGACCCTGATGATGAAAATTATAACTCACCTACAAAAACCAAAAATCAGTCTGTACTTGCCACTCATAACATTATTATAAGTAAGGCAGGGAAGAAATAATAAGGTCATCTTTGAATTCACCCACACCAACAGCTGAAATGACCAGTATAGTCTGATCATCACCATGATCATCAATAATCTTATCAAACTGTTGAATAACTCTTCCCCAAATAACCACTTTGACAACATCACCCCTACATGAATTTGAAATAAATATCTAAGCTGTTTCATAAACTGATCGTGCAAACAAACATGAATGGCGGAATTGCGATACCGTTCCCTCAACAGATAAAAGAAAAACCAACCAGATAGTGAGCAATCAAATTCGACAGATGTTTTCTAAATGCCTTTCATGTCAAAGATATCAAAGAAACTCACTCAATCAGTTTCAATGTGAGCTCCTTCTTTATAGTTTTCCGGGTAAGGCTGGTAGTAGTAATTGCCTCTGAATGTGTGCGCAATTGGCCAACAACATCTACAACAAATCATTTAATAAAATAAAATCAGATACACATTATTTGCTAGCTGAAAATACATGTAAGAATGAAGAAGTAACCTGGGAGAATAACAATATGACCGAATTTGCCTGCCATTTGACTTGCATTTAGGAAACTGAATTTGAAGGTCGGAATTGCAGGGACTTCAGGAACATGATGAACAGTTCTCTTCCTACTAAATTGTATCAAATATGGATTCCCAATAGGTCGATATTTCAGTCCAGTTGTATTGATATCAAAGTTCTTGATAATGAAAACATGGTTCTCCTTCAGCAACTTTGTTAAACTTTTCTATCAACACAGGAGGGATTTGTACCCAGATATCATTGCCCTTCAAAATGGAAATGAAAACTAAATTTTAAAAAACAATACTCATTTTCGAACAGATACTTCATATGCCATGAAAGAGGTGATTACCTTTGAATCCATCAGAATGAGGTCCAAATGGAGAACTTTGTCTGTATGTACATTCGCTCCAAGCCACATTCTAGAGACACGACATTGACCTGACCAAATCTTCTTCTCCGACTCGAGGTCGCGAATACTCTGGGAATCCATTCTACAGACTCAGCAACAAAAAAGGAGGTTATTGAAGAGCTACGGGATTGCAGCAAATAAGTAGATACAATTACAAAAATTGAACGCGAATTGATACCTGGGAGAAAAACAAATGAGCACCGAAAATTGTCAACTGCTGTCTCAAAGCTCATATATATATTTCTCGAAGACAGCAGCAGTTACTTCAACTTTGAAAAAGCCACGTCGGCCACACATCGGAATGGGGGGGAAGCTGCACACACTCGGACGATTCCCGCGGAAGATTATTGCTGGATGGAGATAACTGTAACTCTGGGCAACTGTGACCTTCATTTTGTTAATATAAGTCACAAAATTTGAGAGTCTCTTCTAACTTGGTCTCTTCTATGCAGCTAATTCTGACTCCTGGATTTCCCAATTTCAGACCCCGTTCCAGCTGAGAGCTAATCATCTTCACCTCAGCGCTAAACTTGATAAGAATTCAATTTACAAAATTGAACTCAAATAATGTAAATCAACTAATGGGAGATATGTATTTGGGAGAGATTGGCAAACTGATTAATAAATTGGTGCAAATAGGATTGGAATTTGGTTGGAGATGGGAAGAGGAAAGTGATTTCAGCGGCGGCATCAGGCAGAGTGGAATCTACCGCAAATACAAATATGACGCTAGGGTTCCCTATGGCTTCATCGCCAGTTAATTGTATTCCAGGTTTCTGGCCCTTGAGTTTTGTGTGGGCTTTCAATATGGGCCAGAGGTGACTAATCTTCAAATTGGGAATGACAACAAAATAGAAGCCCATTTCTATATCAGATTGTGATCAAATAAAAGCCCTAGCCGAACAATAGTTAATATCAAATGTAAATCAAAATAGATCCTAATTAGAACTAATGACACTGAATTGGAATAAGACTCCACTGTTCTCACTTCCAAATAAATTAATACCAAACAAATGCACCAATTGATCCATTTGTTCTCCAGGGGAATAATAATCTGTTAATAAAACATCAAGATCACTACTACTATTTTAAACAGTAGACATGGGTCGAGTTGCTTAAATAAACAGGAAGCAAGTTTGAGATTTACAACCAAACAGAAGCAAAGCTGTATTACAAAGGAATAAATCTGGCAAATTAATCCCATGTCTGATCATGCAAACCACACTGCAACTTGAAAGTTCAATCAAAAATTTCTGGGAATACTATGTTTAGCATCGAGTTCCGGTCTTCACCATTATCATTCTCGATCAAGATTTTGAGACCTTGCCTTGTTGTAACTCTGAACAATGCAACATAGAGTTGGCCATGACTGAAAACCTGCCTCTGGAGACATAAGCCAACATGATCAAGTGTTTGTCCCTGACTTTTATTAATAGTCATGCCAAAACATAGAGCAATAGGATATTGTCTTCTAAGGAGAGTGAAATTAAGACTTTTGTAATATGTTGACAATGTAAGTCTAGGGAGAAACACACGATCACCTACATTGGTACCGGTCAAGATCTCCACCTCAATGAACCATTTTCCCAAAGTCTTAACAATCATTCTGGTACCATTGCAGAGCCCAAGTGTTTGATCCATATTCCGCATCAAAATTACTGGACATCCCACTTTAAGTTTCAGTTCATAATCAGGAAAGTTACCAACCTTCAATGTATTCAGAAACTCAGTAGTATAATCAACATCCACCACACCCTCCTTTCCAGGGTCCACTTCAATTGAATCTAAGCTAAAATATGTGACCTCATCTCCTGGAAATTTTGCTAAAATAAATTCATTGATTGCAGAAACCATATCATGGTGTGGTGCCAAAATAGCTCGCCTGACCAAATAATTATGATCCGAATAATGACTCAAAAGATCACCATAAATTGAACCCACAATATCAGTAACAGGATCTGATTGGCGAGGTACTAATAACTCATGTGGAATTGAAATAGTAGACTCACCAAAAACATCTGAATCAACCCCATCACCAATTTGCAAAAGCCAATTCTGGAAATCAGCAATTTCTAGCATTTCTTCTGGACATTGATTGCCACGTGCTAGCCTCATATTTTGGATCAATTTGATTACCTTCAAATGCTGCCACAAATAAGACCTCTTAATAGATGAGTTGACAGAATCAGCTCGTGTACCTTTCAATACTATAGGCAGGGTTTGCCTGAAATCCCCACCGAAAACAATTGTCAGACCTCCAAATGGTTTCTCATCACTATTTTGATATCGGAAACGTAATATATCTCATAATGATTTATCCACAGCTTCCACCACATGTTTATGAGACATGACAACTTCATCCCAAATAATCAAAGAAGCACGTTAGATTAACTCTGCCATCTCACCTCCCTGTTCAATATGACAGGTTGATCGCGCATCAATGTCAACTGGAATATGAAATCGGGAATGAGATGTTCTCCCACCATCCATCAAAAGGGTTGCAATACCAGAAGAAGCAACACATAAAACCACCTTCTGCTCTGAACGCAATTTCAAACAAATGGCCTTCCACAAAAAGGTCTTTCCCGTTCCACCACAACCTTAATGAAAAATGACTTTTCTTGGTCACCATACACTGAAGCCATAATTTCATCATAGGCTACTCTTTGCTGGTCATTTAATTTGAAAATCATACTATCAAATTTATAACGGAGATCTGTGGCATTGTAGCTGCAACGATCAATCTATTAGATGAAGATTGCAACATATCAAAACTGGGAACTGGTAATCCTGGAAAGTCTGAAATGGTTTTGCAATTCCTTAAGAGCAATTTATCAATTTCAAGCAAGCAACATTCTTTCAACTGAGACTCAGTCATGTCCAATGTAGGCATATTAAGTTGCTTCCGACGGGAGTACAAAATCTCATCAGACAACATTGTCCAATTTCGTTCCCATAATCTGTCAATATCTGAAACTTGACATAAGGTTATTATAGTGACAAATAAATCTCTAAGCTTCTGACCTGATGCCCAAAGAGATGCTTAAGCTAAACAGTCATTCCATTCATTATCTTCTGCCAATAACCCATGAGCATAACATGCCTCCTTGAAAGATTTATATATAACTCCATTCACGGTCCTGATATCCTCAAAACTAACTGATCCACGAACAATGTGTAGGAGCATACGCAGGTAGAATCTGTCATTTGTTGGTGAAGGATGACAGTAGTATAACCGACCAATTGAGAATTTGGACTTCCTTCTGTGCCATTCTCGTTTTGTTTGATCCCAAACATAGAACTGAGGAAATTCTACAAAAGTGTACTGCCTTGCTTCTGAAGATGATTGATTCATTTTCATCCAGCTCAATAACATAGAGGTCTGAGCTCGTTTAGATCGAAGTAACCCTTGAGGATTCTGGTTTTGCTTTGAGACAACAACGTTCTGACCCGGAAGATGATATGACATACGTAATACATATGGATATTGTGATTAGACATCAAACTTGAATAACCTCCAACATGCTTCACCAGATGTTATATAACGACAGTCTAAAAATGACTTGATCTCATCGATACATGGACTACGATCAGAACTTGAAGCACTCGAATCACCACTTGTAGTACTTTGAGTTCCCACTAATGATGCTTTGGCTCTATCTTGTGGTTTATTTATATATTTGAGAGATATTTGATTGCCCTGCAATCAAAAGACAATAATGAAATACCACATATCAAACATGAATGTGAATTGACAAAATCATCAATACATAATTGACTGCATTCTAATTTTATTAATTAGAAAATTGAAATGAAACTATGTTATATTAAAACATATACCTACAAAAAATCATGCATAGGATTTTTTAATAATTGATTAGCAATTTGTACAAAATAACCCAACATAATTATAAGAACATAAAGAACAACACGAAGCACATCTTAAAATTAAAATCATTCAGCACATATCTCGATTTATTACAGAATTCAACATTAATATGTGCATCGAAGCGCAATAATAAATAGCGATTATACGGAACAACGAAACGGTTATCCAGAGGCACAAAGTGGATATTAAAAGATATCCCAGTATCACGTCGTCGATATTTCGCAAAACCATTATCATCAATTGTGGTTTGCTCACAAAACTGCTTTGGGAAATGTTTCGTAAACCCCCCCCCCCCCCCCTGAGTGCAAGGAGCATTACGGCCCAAAGCACCACATGGACCATGCAACATAAATGCAGTTACAGCTCGATAACCTTCTGGATCTAGATCACGATTAGGTATCTCTGCTGATATTACAGAATCTATTTCCTTGGGACCACTTAGTTTATATTCCGCAGCTAGGAAAACTAACAAATGAGCATGACTGCATGAGGCAGACCCCTCTTCTGAAACTCAATAGCCATGAAATCTGTAAACAAAAAATACAATATTATAGAGAACTGAAATTCATAACAAATACATGATCACTCAACTTCAATTGCACTGATAAATGATTGATAAATCTTAATTTTTCATGAAATAAATTTAGATAAATTTTACATTATATATGGAAATTAAAGTAACTACAAAGAGTACTCTTTAAAAAGTTGTTGAACATGCAGAAGATTATTAAGTAATGGCTTTTGATAAATATAATGTGTAACCTGTAGACTAAAAAGGCAACACGTGTATGTATCTATAAGATTTGTTCTTGTGATTGCAATTAGTTTTATATATGATTGAGGAGGATATGACTTTTGATAAATATATAATATGTAGGGCTGCAAATGAGCCAAGCCGCTCGCGAGCAACTCGGCGTTCGAATCGGAAAAAACTCGTTCGACACTCGACTCGTTATTTAACAAGCCGGCTCGCGAGCCAACTCGTTAGTTAACGAGCCAAGCCTGAGCTAGACCATGCTCAGCTTGATAAGCTCGCGAGCTAGCTTGATTCGGTGGCTTGTCGAGCTAAGCTCGCGAGCTGCCTTGTTTTGAGCTTGTGGAAGGATGAATTACTCTTTTAAACATGAACATTGTCTTATAATACAGATGTGTATGAAATTTAGATGTTATTTCTAGTTTCTAGTGTTCTTTC